TGTACTTCGTTTTTCTGAGCCCTTAAGGGTGCCGTTTTCACAGCGACTGAATGCTGCACGCAGTGGACGCCAGTAGCCGCATGCATTGTCATTTTCTAGCTGAACTTCTCATGGTTTCTTTATGTTTGTCTATTTTCGTCGAATTATGATGGAGAGGAGGAAAGCTGTCAGTTCTCAAAAACACATCGCAATAAGGTCACGATTGTCTAACTCCCTTGCAAATTCTAATTATTATGGAAGTTTCATAAAGGACGATTTACGAGTCACTGATTTCTCAAGTCTTTGTCTTCATTGGATTTTTGTTGTTCCAAGCTGATTAAACTTTGCTGTAGCCTTGCTGACCGTGCTTCTGCTGCTGTAAACAGCATTCGCTGCTAGGCTTAGAGACTAGTTATGCGGTTTCGACAGTATTCATGACTCCTAGCTTGTGGTAAGGCGAAAACCTAACCGAACATGGAATAGATGACAACAAGCTTACGCTGATACTCCCAAGCGTTGCGTTTCAATAGTAGCTTTTGGCAAGCTTTTCCATGCTATATCACAGATTCTCTTGCGTGTTTCAGTTTCACGCCAGTCGGTGGCTAGTAGCACTTGAGAGCGGCTGTAAATCAAAAAGATAAAAATTTGCAGATTCAACATTGTCATTTTCTTACATTCCCTGATGCCAAGCAGTAGGTGCGGGACGTGTCATACTGGAAAGAAGGCGTTCAATAAGCCACCAGAATCTTCTTGTATCATCGCGGTGAAGAACCTAACCAGAACAAACGTTTGGGATACATTCTCTTCATAGGATTGTGTAACGCTCACATCTATAATGCAGTTCTGCCATGTTGAGTATGCATCTGCATTCATATGGTCGTAGAGATGATCAACAGCCGGCGCCAACCAACTCCATAATTTATTCAGCTTTTTGAAACCAATATATTTTGTACCTTTAGAAACTCCCGTAAAAATTTCAGCGGCCAACCGTTGCTCGGCCCTCTGTAAAAAGGGTTTTATAATAGCTATAACATGCAAACTATAACCTCAATAACTAAAAGGCAGAGATTTTACCTTTCTGCTCTTCAAAAGATCTGCTAAGGTTTTGGTGACTCTGTTGAATATAACTTCGCTGGCAGGAAAGTTTCGAAGCAGGTACTGCAAATCAGTCATGCAGAAGTACAGTTCAAAGGCTAACACAACTGACTTTTATCATCCATACGGTATTATCATTGACTTCTTTGCTGTCATGCTTTTCGATCAGAAGCAAATCAATCCACTTGTTATAAAACGACTCATTTTCAAAAGCTTCAACTATTGCCTTTTCGCTCTCATTCAGAGGCTTTCGATTTAGTTGAGGCTGAGAAGCGTAGACAACAACGTTTATGAAGCTGAACCGATAAATTTATCAGCTAACAATCAAGTAGTTCTGAAGGAATCTTGCTGACTCTGGCCACTGATAGCTGCCAAATTGCTTTGAAAAGAATACTGTCTTATTCCACTTTTCCTCCGTCGTTGGCAAATTTTGCGAATCATAGACCAAAGGAAGGTTGTCTAATCGGAGTCCGCATTTCAGGAAAACATCCTCTGCCTGAAATTTGAAATCTTAATCGGCAATGAATTCCCCCTAGTTCTGCACCTTTTTTGGACAGCTCCAATTCATTCTTATTGTTTTCGGTTTGTTCTTCTTCAACCAAAAGGACAACTCATCGGCACACCTTTCGCGCAAAAACTCTTCATCATCCACGAACTTTCCCAACAAAATCTAGAAGAAAATTACTCTACTTTTTTGGGAATTCCTATTCAATAGTTGAATCACTGTAGTGCGGTTTGAAGGAAGTGCTTTTTACTTGAAGTGGCCACTCATAAGGAGACGTATGCTTAGAATATCGTCCAAAAAAGCCGTCCGGCAGATCGAAAAGAAGACTTGAAATATCTTCTCCAAAACTTTTTAGCACACTTATGGGGTGTGGAAGCTTATAGATCAATTAATCGATAAGTCGGTTCATCGATGATGTCAGACCTCGGCGGCAGGTCTCCGGAGGGCACTGGAATTCGTAAAAAGAAAATCGCATGGAAACTGGAGTTCAATTTCAATTATGGCCGCTTTTTTCGCAACAATGCTGAAGTCTCCATCCCCCCTCTTCCCCCCTCCCCCCGTTCCTAGCGCGGATG